ATATTGAAAGGTAAGCAACGTAATAAAAAAAATTATCCCGATTCACAGCAAAATTATATAGAAATAATTCGACGAGCAGAAAAAGTGACACATGTATTGTATTACCAGCAAGAGGGTAGGGAGTATGCCAACGATGTATCCGTAAAGCAGCACTCTTGATGACGTGCATAGAGTCCAGTGATGGTTCAAGCAAAAGAGATTAGTATTACACATCATCATACATAGCAACCTGAAATGGGTTCTGAAGCTGGCAGTTTGTGCGGCAGTGTGACAAATAAATTGCTTCATAATCACCTACCAGGCACATTAAATGAGATTCTCTGAAGTAAAAACGGGGAAGATATTATACCTGTAATCAAATTTAAGCCCCAGCATCACGCGTCTATTTTCTAGTTTAGGAAGGTAGTTAGGAAGGCATCAATCTATCTTCATAAGACAGAAGCTCCAAATAGGAATATCAGCCTAAGCCCCGCATCGCAATAATTGAAAAGCGTCCTTCTACTGATTCAATTATGTCAATATGATGCTTGTAATTTGTTATCCAGACTATAGCACTATAGACGAGTATTCGAACAAGAGCAGTACAGGCAAACCTGTTTTTGTGCGGTTGATAGGGACCGCAGAAAAAAAACCGCACAAAAAAAAATATTCAAAAACTTCATAAATAGCTATAAGAAATAATTTTTCACAGCATATTAAAGAAAATTTTTTTTATGCGGTAGAGAGGGACCGCATAAAAAAAGTCTCACTTAGAAAATATCTCAAAGCTTCACGAAATAGCAAGAAAGTGCTTTCCAAACAAAATAAATAATTAAATTACACATTGAAACATTTAAAAAAATTTTAATTTCTAATTTTAAACAAGGAGAAATTTTCAAAATGTACATAATTCAATACTACTCGTCGTAGTTCAAAACGCGCATATTTTTCAACTTCTGGTACGAAGCAATCGTTAAACCATGTTGTAAAAACGGCTGATGTGACCCATGCTTTTTTTATTGGCCATGAAATGCACTGGAAGTTTAGATAAATTTATGGCTTTTTAGCGCGCGTGGGTGCAAAGCTTTATTTATAAGAAGTGGTTTTAACATTCTTGCACCAGATGCATTACTACAAAGAAGGAATGTAATTATTGAAATTGAATGTACATATTGAAATTGGCTGATGCAATATATGCATAAGAACATTGAGCATGCCTAATGAAATAGGCTGATGCAATAGGTATGAAAATGGCTGTTGCAATGTGTACATACACACTGATAGCAAAAAAAGTGATGCCAACACAATTCAGTTTGACCTAACCTCTCGGCGAAATTCAATGTGTCGATATTCATATACCGCACAAAAAAAGGAATCGCACAAAAAGAATCGCACAAAAAAAGAATCGCACAAAAAGAATCGCACAAAAAAAGCGCATAAAAAAATACCGCACAAAAACAGGTTTGACTGTATATAACCGTTCGGTAACATATGAGGCATAGAATGTATTTAACTATCTCGTAGTGAATCTCACAAGCGATTTAGCTTTATTGACGCAAGATTCGATATTAACTTTGGATCAGGGATCATCTCCAGGTCATTATATCTGGCTAAGTAATTAAACGGCCTAATAGTGGACGAAGATGAAGATAGCTTATATCATGGACCAATAGCCAAATTAAAGAGAGAATCATATTGATATCCTTTATTGTTTTGGTTTTATTTCAAATTAAAGCTATGTAGCGCTTATTGCCTCATCCCATATATGCATATGTTTTCCTTTTGCAAATAAACGTCATTCACAGGCATAGCATCAATGCCAGGTGAACAAAGAAGTTTGCCAACATTGTTCGTTTTGGTGCAACCAATGCACCCAAACGGAGTTTAACGATTAGAATTGGCGGAAAAGTAGGGACCAATTAAAGCTTTAACTCAGAAATCACACTAAACCGTCACCAGTTGTGATTGGTGAGAACTTTTGATTATGTCTCTTGGGATTTTGGAGTCACAGATGCGACAGTTTTCCGTGTATACGTAACCAAGCAGATGAATGTAAGTCTCCTCGTTGAGTACAATTGTGTTTAAGAAATCTTTACCATGTTTATGTGCATCCAGCACATAATCAATGCATATGCAACGAATGTTCTACTCTTTGCTTACCATATGTAATCGCATCGACGTTTATATGTTGACGGGTCAATGATGGTGAGAATTGTAAAATGACGCCCTTTACCGAAACACCCAGCTATAATAGAATTTCAATTGAATTAACCAAACTTGAAATTATAGGTATGACATTATTAAAGATTAAATAAGAAGAAAATAATTTTAAAACGAAGAACGTGTTTATATGAAAAGAAGCATAGGTCTGCCCCGCTTAACGCGACGCTTGTAAAGCACGATTGCGATACATCACTGTACAAAATTGTACGGATAAAAATTGTGCTGATAATCTCTGTACCTTCTTCCATCATTCACATGATCGACACATCAGACGATACTATTGAAAGTAAAAAATAGATTTCTGGCAGTTTTTTATATCAATATTTCTCAATCATTAGTATTCCGGCTACTGAGAAAAGGATTCGATGAATATTTACGTGCTTGTTAGGCATTCAATATACATCTGTTTAATATACATTATTAAGTCGGATTAACTATCTGTAAAAGGTCAAATTAAAAATAAAAACAAGCAGAGACATAAAGTACATATTCTGCCCTTAAACACAAAAAAATGTGTTTGCCAGAAAAGAACAAGGGAGCGGGCGTACAGCTTTACGGGATCTGAAACCATATTTTATTTCGTAGCCGTTTACATGTATTTTGATCATTTTTCATTTATTAAGAAAAATTGCCATAATATGAATTAATAAAAATATATCCCATTTTTTCGACAACTTTTTCTCATCTTTCTAGCAATAAGGTGAGGCCGTGTCGGAAAAACTATATTGGTTTGGCAGAGATCCAATCATCGATTTATTTTCATACTTCTTTAGCATTTCGAAGCCACCTGCCTTCTAAGCCATGCTGCATCGACCTGAACAAGTGATAATCAGCAGACGCTATATCTGGTGAATATGCTGGGTGTGGCAGAAATTTCCATTCTAGATGCCACAGCGTATTTTTAAGAGCTCTTGCAACATGAGGCCGAGCGTTGTCATACAAGCGGATGACTTGCTTCATTGCTGGTCG